AACAATCCACACGAATTTGCCATAGATTGTGCTATATAGTCCATCAAGCCGCAAAATAAGGTTTCATCAGTTTGGCGTGTAGGACGACAGGACAGCAAACAGTCGTCCAAACCCTCACAATGGGCAAGAAGCGCTCTCTCAAAAAAAAAGTCTGGACTCCCATCATCGTTGACAATACTGCTGAACGAGCTGAACGTCGCGTGAAGAGACTCAAAAAGGTATGTGATCCGTTAGATTCTGAATATGATCGATCGTGTTACTACCTGACCTATCTAGCTCGACCCTGACCCGGAAGCAGATACACGGCTCAAGAAATGCCATCAGGACCAGATTTTGAAATTACTGGTTCCAAGTTACCGACTTGCCATTGCCCAAGATCAAATCAACGCTTACTTTAACCACGCCTCGCTTATTTGGTTCCTCCGCTTTCCTGATGCTGAGGCTGAAGTCCATGTGCATAAGGCGTTTCTTGGTGATACCGAGTATGAGACCCACATCCGCAACCAACGTATCAAGGTAAGCGTCCGCCACTAAATCTTTTTCCACAAACTTTTGACGATGGCCCTATAGTGGCTCAAAACTAAGCTCCAATGGGTCGCCTTCCGCGTTCCGGCGAAGGGTGGCCGCTCTGGGTCCAAGCTGTCGAGTTGGGACAAGGAGTTGAATCTGGTGATTCAGAAAATCGCAGAGGATCTCCCGACGCCTTGGGATCCCGCAGATTGCGAGGGCTTGAGTGGTACCTACCACTTTTATGATAAAACCTGGGCATTTGCCTGCACAGTCTTTTCAATCCCCCCAAGTGAAATATGAAATGAAATGCCTAGGCTATTTCATTCTTGCTTTGCAGCTATTTCATTCCTACCCACCACATTTTTCATTTCTCCTTGGCAATGAAATGCATTTCATTCTTTTGCCTGTGCTTTTTCATAACTTTTTCATTCTTTGCCAACTTTATTTCTTTTCTTTTCATTCTTTGCCAGTATCATTTCATTCTTTTGCCTGCGCTTTTTCATAATTTTTTTTTCATTCTTTGCCAGTCCTATTTCATTCCATTGCCTGCACCTTTTCATAACTTATTATTTCATTGTTTGCCATGTTTAAGGTTAGGGTTGCACTTAAAAAAAATGAAACTCATTTCATTGCTTCTCTAAGCCTTTTCATAACTAGACACATTATTTGTTTGTAAATAATAAACATATGTATTCTCAAATTATTAGCTATAGTTTGACCTAATCAACCCCTGGCTTGTGATCTTTACATTTGTTTGTATTTGAGGCCATAAT